GTTTTCTTCGTTTAAATTGACTTTAGAATGAGGGGCGAGAGGTCATTAAAATATATTTTTAAAAACCTCAAAAAACTCCGCACTGAACGAACCCGAACAGCTGATGAACACCAGGCGATCTGCGCACGCAAGGAGGTGCTATTCCTATTCTTCTTCGGGAGAAACGAAAGAGAGCTTCAAAACAGACTGCAGCGCCTTCTGAAGCAAAGAGCGGACTTCCGGCGGACACACTTTTGGCTGAGTGGACCATCTTGTTATGTACTATCTTTGATACGACCAATCGTCACCCACCCCTTAATCCTGAAGACTGCCGTGTCTAGCCTCTGCTGTGAAGCGGTTTCAGTTACACTTTAAACGCTTCGCTGTAGCGGGCAGAAGACCCGTGTTAGATTCCTAGGTGCGGAGAAATTTGTATCGAGTACCTCGGTATTTCTGCTGTGATGCTGTATCCGCCTCCTAAATGATATAATTTGTGTTGATGTGATACGCAAACCCTACCGGTACATTAAAAAAGGAAGGTAGCTAATAATAGTGATGAATGCATGTTATAGCAAGGCCCTCCGACGTTGAGGGCTCACGATTTTATAATAATAATGATGATAATAATAATTGGATTTTTATATCCCATATCCACGCTCTACAGCACGTTCTATGTGCTTTACAACTATTAAGAACACTCGGAAACATTCTCGACTGCCCGGAAAGTATACAGTGCACGCTGCGGATTTCGTGCGCTCAAATACTAACAAACTGACAAGATCTTTCACTGTCTATACTAGCTGGGTACCCATTTCCACCTGGGTGAAGTGAGGAAAATTCGTGCAAAGTGCCTTTCCACAGAACACAACGTCAAGCCCGTGGCAGGATTCGAGCCTACGGCCGTACGGTTGCGAATCCGAGTGCCTAACCACTCGACCCCCGAGGCACACTGTGACTCTACAGGACACCGAAGACTGCTCTCCCCAAAAACTCTACGAAAAAAGTGGATCACTTCTGACTCTTGGACCTTATTTTGGCGACGAAAATATGACAGATGAGCAGACTTCACGAACTCACCAACTTGCGAATCCGATAATTTCACAGCAAAGATTCGGTGTATCCGAATTCAAAATTCAAATTGAGGTCAACACATCAGCCAAGAGTTCGAAGGAAATATTCCGAGACTCCCAAAATAAAATAGTGTGGGAAGTTAAACTCCAATCAATTCTCGTCAAATTAAGCCATCATCATTAATTTGAATCAGATATCAGGTCGAACAGAATCAAAGGGGCTGAATTCAGGCAAAATACAACCGGCTAAGCCACTGAGAGGAGTCAATACACACAAACTGAGAACTTTTATTTTATCACTTTTAATGCCATTTGTCAAACCTGATACATTTTAGATATGTAGTGCGTTACAAAAAAAATGTCAGAATTTCCGAGTTCTGACATGAGTTTCCCCATCCTTAGTAGAAGTGTTCGATGCAGATTTTATTCGATGTTCATTATCATAAAAGGAAGACAATTGATAAAACGTCAAAGCAAAGCAGCAATTATGTATCAAGGGAGACAAAAAGGAAAAGAGCGTTTCAAACGTTTGGTAATAATACAGTGTGTGTGTGTGTGTGTGTGTGTGTGTGTGTGTGTGTGTGTGTGTGTGTGTGTGTAATATATATTCAAAGTATTTATATTGTTCTAATTAGTTTCATTTTCATTACATGTATTATTTCAGCTTTTATTGCTATTGTTCATGTAATTGTTTGTACTGTCCTCATGTAATTGTTTTTACTAACATTACCATTAACCTACTATTATTATTATTATTATTAGTGTTGTTGTTGTTGTTGTTGTTGTTTTTGCTAACACATACATAATGAACACACACATAACGAAACAAAAACAAAAACAAAAACAAACAATGAACGGAATTTCAGGTCTCGAATTATTTCGTAGGCCGACTTTTTTTTTTTCAATTTTGAATGTAGGGCATATCGTAGTTGAGGGTGTCTTAAAATTCGCTTCGACACAATTTATTAAATCCTAATAATAAAAGGTCGGTTTCTACGATGTATGCCATGGCCAACCAGGACTTAGAGAGGTATACAACGTCCCAGTAGCAGAAACTCGATAAAACTTCTTCCCGCACACGAGTCGAGCTCAGGTCCTTTCAAACACAACGTGTTACGGCTGAGTGCCTAACCTCTACACCACAGACGCCGGTGGACGGTTCAGTTTTATGTAATTCTGCGCAAACTTTCCAGCAAACTGCCATTGATTTTATGTCATCCTGTTCAAACTTCCAAGCAAGCTGTCACTCATATGATGTAATTATGTTCCATCTGTCCTTGCTTGGCAGATTCCTGCATATTATTATTTTATAGTGCTCATTACTAATTGTATAACATGAACTATATAGTAGTCTTGGAAAACGTTCCATTGTACATTAACTCTCGAAACCAGACGCTAGTTGTATACCCTATAGCTATGATAAGTCTTAATACGTAAGATTTTATTTTAACTTTATATCAGCGGCAAGTTATGCAAGAGGCTGATTTAAAAGCCCATGTCCGATAAAACTAAGGCAAGTGCACTGGTAGTGGTAGAAAAGCCACGACGACCCCACAAGCATTCCAAAAGTATGACTATGACTTTCGTGGCGGAGACTAAAGCCGGAGTCGCCCGCATCCTTTAGTTTAGTTTTAGTAGAGGTTTTACGGCGCTCGCAACTGCATAAGGTCATATGAGCTTCAGAAGATTAGAGGTGTTACAAGAAAGTAACAAACATAAAAAAGAAGAAGAGGAGATAAGGATGATTGATGTTTCACAAGAAAAAAGAAGCAAACCACACCAGAGAACCCACCAACCACCCACTCCTGCCTGCGTCCTTGTCGAGCATTATGCCAAGAGAGTCAAAAGATACTCCCACCATAAAGCTATTGTCTCTCACATCCACTCGTTGTTTATTTATTTAAGTAAGAACATCAATACGATAACGGTCATTTAGCTTAGTGCAAGGGGAAAGCAAGCAAGGCACAGACGGACGGACAGACACAAAGGGGGGAAAGAACAAAGTAGGACCAACCAGTGACGCCCTTCAACCACCTGCGACATCCACTGTGGGGAAAAGACCATGAATTCCCATTGATACCTAATAAATAATATTGTTATGATTAATCGATAGCTTGTTGTGGGTTTAAGTGTACATTATATCAACCAGCCCACGGGGCGTGCTTTGGAGGCTTCCTACAGCTGTACAGGTATCAAGTTTTAGCTATTTGAATTTAATTCCACTAATGGCAAAATGCAAGAGGAGAATATTATGACTATGGTCCTATAATATAAAGGAAAATCCTGCACATAAAGGCCAAGCCAAAGATGGATAGAATGTTTTACATTACCATAATTATCATAATATTATAGACTTTTGTATACCACACATGTTCGTGTGTTACGGAGGAGCGTATGGTGTATACTCTACACTGCTGCTTACATCACGTCAGTACATGTATCTTATCCTGCAGCCTTCTATTCGAAGAATAATACATAACACTTTTTCTCTTCAAACTTGGAAACTTCAAAGGGAAAGAGGGTTAACCACTGTGATGCATTTTTCTGTTGTTGTTTTTTTCCCTCGACTGCACACAAAGCGGACCAATTACCTTATGTATTATGAATTAATACTAATGTAAGATCATTACATTAGTATTAATTCATCATCTTTGGAGATGTGAAGTCTGTGAAAATGTTGCAAATTCAGTTTTTTGTTCATGAACCAAATAAGATTTTCTGGAAGCTCAATTTGGTTTAATGAGCTCACAAGGAGAAGCAGGAAGAGGAAATCAGAACTCGGTGTTTCCAGTCTCCAGGATTCAGACAACTGACATGCAACACGGTACTCCTTCCTGAGTTTCCACTCATTTAATGACTTGTAACCGAATATTGCTTCAAATCATTATTTCATACATTATACAAGTATAGCAATGAGATAAACATAGTCTGTTTTGCGACGTTTTTAGTTTTAGTAAGAGTTTAATGGCAATTGCAACACAATAAGGTCGTACAAGTGCCAAAGATTAGAGGTGTTACAAGAGTTACACGAGAGCAAAAAACACAAAAAAGGAGGGTAGATCAGGATCTTTTTTGGGGTGTAAGTGTTTTATGCCGCTTGCAACTGCATAAAGTCATATTATAAGCGTGCGGGACACATTGAACATTTTCAGTTGGTAGGAAATCTTGAACTTAACCCGGGTGGCGGCCGAAAACTACTCTTTTTATCGATTTTGGACCACCACTGGATCTTCAACACATGCAACTTGCACACGGGTCCTCCAAGATTTTACGCCTTTGTCCGAGAAAGCTAAGTGTAGATCTTTCCTACAACAAGATCAGGGGTGAGGCTGAAAGACAGCAGTAAGAAGGAGCCAGGGCGTAGCAGTAGAAAGGCTGCAGAAAGAGTCAGGAGCCCAGAGGAGTGGGCAAAGGAGGTGAGGGGGTGGGGGGCAGAAAGTGGAGGTGAAAGCAGACAACAGAACATTGCAAGAGAGCAGAAAAGGAGGTGAAAGGATATAATTAAGAGAAGAAAAATTTTCGTCGCCATCTGGATTCGAACCCGAGATCTTTTGAATGAGAGGCAAACACCTTAACCTCTAGGCCACGAAAAACCCCAATCAGGATGATAGATGTTTGATAGGAAAGAAGGAGTTAATACTATACTACAAAACCTGCCAACCCTATGCTAAGTTTTGTTTGGAGCATGAAACCGCCATAACATTCTTTTCAAAATTAATGTGGATCAGCAAATCAGGCATTTTCACTGACTGTGAGCAGAACTTTCTTTTTTCCATTCCATTCTTTACACTTATTTTCCATATTACTTGAGAACTGTATCTGCATTCACTTGTATAAAACAAGGGAGTAAATGAAACAAATTCAAGATGTTTTACTCAAGAGATACCAAACATACAAAAGAACATCACAAAATAATATACACAATCGATTAAAAAACACAACAATTCCAAAGACTTTTATGAATTAACATTTAATACATAATCAGTGCCTTCTCTTCAAACACAATGAATCACAGCTGTAAATCATAATGAAAAAAGCATTTTTTTTTTAAATTAAGCTGCGACGTCTAGGCACATATCAGCATTACGTCGTTTTTCCAGAACTGTCACGGGTACTTGAAACAAGTTTGACAAGCATGGAAATTCATATACACAGAAAAACAAACACTTGTAAACTTCTTTTTTTTTAAGTACCTGTCACACAAAACCAAAATGTAACGGACAGTCACAGCTGAGAGGTACTTTCACCAACCTCACTGAATACAATGTAATAAGTTCTGGTGATGCCTATTGAAATGCCATTTCTCAGAGGTGACAGAGAATAATGATGCACATTCTGAACTACATAATTAAGTTATTTAAAAAAAGCTAGTACAAAAAAACTGCAATTTTTGTTCCCATCTGATTATGATAACAAAGGAACACATAAAAAATGTCAGTCTCTTTCTTATTCTATCAAATTCAGGCAATAAATACTTAAGCCTTAGCAGGCAGGGTATCCACGTCCTAGAAAAATTAGAAAAACAATGTAATTACCACAAATAAGGAAGTAAATATTTAAAACACAAAGCACCACTCTCGCGGCTATTGCTTAGGCTAATATAAATTCAAAAAAGTGTGGCTTCAAACTGATATGGAAATTTACTAATCCAGGGAAGAAAGTAACGCACTATAAATGCATTCTATAAAAGACTAGCTGCAAGAGATCATGCATTTCTCAATCATCACTCTATCATTCTAATCGCCCAAACTGTTCTTGTACTGAGCCCCTTTTACTTGCCAACCAACTCTGTCATTTCTGGAACAGCCTGCAAACAAAACACATCAAGGTATTAAGTATTGGACAAAAGGAAATTGAGTGTGGGCTGTCTCATCTCATCAAAAAATAGATTTCTCAAACCATAGCTTAGTCCTTAAAGGTGTTTACCTCCGAGGATGAATCTAATCACAAAACGTAGTGTTTTTTCCAATTTTATGAAAAGGAATAACAAACTTAAGTCAGATACATTCATTCCAGCCATTAGTTCTCACAGTATTAATAGCACTCTCTTCTGTTTTTAATAAACATTACAAATACGTTAATACTACTGAACATAGTATTTCACTTTCAGTTAATGGAAACACATAGACAAGATAACATTTTTTCAGAGCATAGAAAATGTAAGATAGACAGAAAGAAACAACAGAAGGAAAGAAAAGGAGTAGAATCTACCAGTGGTGCCCTTTAACCACCCACCTGAAGATATTAAACATTTACGATTCTGATTCTCTTTACTAACAAAACAGACGTTCATTTTAAATAAAATCCCCCTCAAACTGTACTTGTTGAGATGTGCTTTGGGATTTTATGGACTTTAAACAGCCTGGGGCGCTAGGGTTAGGCTTATTCTACATTCTTACAACTTGTAGGCCCTACTTGTATATTTTCACTTACTTTAAACAGGTCCTGAACCAGTCCATAGTCTGCCACTTGGAAAATGGGGGCCTCAGGATCCTTATTGATGGCAACAATCACTTTACTATCCTTCATGCCAGCCAAATGTTGAATAGCACCAGAGATGCCCACAGCAATGTAAAGTTCCTGAGTGAGAATACGAGATAAAATGTCAGCACACATTCAGACAAAAAATATGCACCCTTCATAATGCACAATTAAGTCATAAGAACAAAATATAGAGAATCTAATTTCAATGAACCAACACCGAGTCAGATTATTCTCAAGGTAATAAAACCACAACATAACAAGGCATTACCATTTTTATTTCATTTTGATGATGAATAGAACAAAACCGATGCAAGAACACTATACATTACATCTATCATGTAGCCTACATTAAAGACTTATAAGATTCTCAATTTCCATTTTCGACGCAGCTGTTACAGACAGACTTATACACCGTCAGCAAATAATATGACAGGAAATTATTTGTAAAGTGGGCAAATTGCAACATTCGTACAATAAAATAACTTGTTCTCAATACAAACCACAACTTTGAAAATTCATCATACCACTTAAAATGAGCTTTGCATAACACTTAAGCTTTTCTTTCCACACTCAACTAATTCTCAATAAATTACAACAGTGAGAAAGGAAAACTAAACTCGCAGACATTGGGGTGGTAACTAAAAAGTATGCCATAGGAATACAGTGGAATCCTGTTATAACGAGAGGGAGGGGACCGGTGCGAAATGTCCGTTATAGCAGGATTCTCGTTATTAGGGATCCAATAATAAATTCAAGGGAAATAGTAAAGTAGGCCTACTCTATAAGTTTGGCGTTCTGTTTATTCCTTTTTTTACCATATTTCCCCTGATGATGATTTTGTTCAACATGATCTCTAGATCTTACTTGATCAAAAATCGAATCAGGTTTCTTTCTCTAGCGCTAGCAATGTTGACAAGTCAGCTTTGGCGATCAGATAGAAGGGGCTCTGGCTCTAGGCTAACTTGCCCGCTGTGTTGTTCCCCATCCCACCACACCCTGTGGTGCGTTACGTCTGCTTGCTCACGTCACACATTCACTCCATCTATCACCGCATTGTGACCTCTCCATCCCGCTCCAGAGAAGTGAGAGGCACGGTATGCCTAGATAATCTAGACTGGGCTGGCCTATCACGTGATGCGTTCTGCTTGTGTGCGCATGCCACACCCTCCCCACTCATTCGCTGCGGCCTACATTGTTGGTTCGCAAGCGCTCTCTCGTTCTTTGTTTCGCTGGATCACCAACAACTTTCTCAACTGGCGAGGTTTTATATGTTTATTAATTGGTCTGTCTGCTGCGCCCAGCAGCAGCATTATTCTGCTATAACCGATTCGCGTGACTGTCTGATTGCGTAATAGCAGTATTTTATTTACAAAGATAAAGAAGGGAAAAAACTGGGTTTTAGAATAGTGTCTTTATAGCAGACTTCTCGTTGTTTCAGGACTCATTATAAGTGGACTCCACTGTACAAAAGATGACATGTAACCCCTCAAACAGCCCGTTACAAAAGCAATCTCAACTCACTGGTGCCACAATCTTGCCGGTCTGCCCAACTTGCATGTCATTAGGCACAAAGCCAGCATCTACCGCAGCACGAGAGGCTCCAACCGCAGCCTTGAGCTTGTCCGCCAGATCGTACAACAGTTTGAAGTTATCACCATTTTTCATGCCACGACCTTGTAGAGTAATATTTATTTAATGTTAATTCAAATGTAAACAAAAAAGTTGTTCAAGTACAAATCACTGTAGCCATAAATTACCAAAAATGTGTTTGCCTAGACAACTAACACTATTAGCTTACATCGACAATTTAAAAAAAAATAACACTCCAATTATAGAGTAGTTACAACCACTATACCAAGAATGTTAGAGGAGCAGTTGAAAAGTGATTGTAACCTTTACTGCCTCAGTTGCTTAGATTATTTCATTCACAGGGTGCAACCACCTTAGGCCCAGTCGGATACTTTTAACTGTAATCTATTCTCTTCTCTATGAAAAAATTGTACATGCTATCTTCTAAAACTTCACACAAACAGAATAAAAAAATGTTTTTCATGTTTGCAGAAAATTAGAGTCACAATCAGTATTGTCCGGGCTTGGGGAGCCAAGAAATCCAGTATTACCTTGGCCATAGGAATGTAAGTACTAAAAATAGCCTGGTGCTGTAATAGTTAAATGAATAGTAAAAACAAAAAAGGGCTTTTTAAAAAATTAATCGCACTCTGCCTTCATTTAGTAACATATGTGAAAAAAAGAGAAGGAAGAGCATTTGGCTGCTGTCATAACTTGTTTCCTACCATCACCAGCAGTTTGCAACTGGCGCTTCCCTTGCTTTCTGGCAGAGAGACATACTTTTGGCAAGATAAATTATAGAAATACTTCCAATCCAGAATTTCAAAATTACATACAAGCTTCTTTTTACACTCAAATTACATTTATTTGTACTGTCCGATAGGAAATTCAGTTCCCAGAAATGTTACAAAAACACATTTGAGTTTCTCTAAAACCACTTGGAAGAAATTATATTTTTTCAGATTGGCAGAGGAAAAAATTGTTGGCGATATAATTTCGTCAAAATAAAGGAAAACAAAATCAGAGGACATATACATCAAAATGAAAAGCAAATACAGTAAAACATATTTCACATTCCTCAGGTGAAAACAATAACGATTTAAAACTTGAGGAGTCCCCAAGACACTACTACTATAGAGGTCGCGTTCTCCCACACAACCAGAAAGTCATTTCCCCTAGACTTGAATTTGAATGTGACCTGGCAAAATAAACATATGACAGGCCTGATACAACCAAACAATACTAGCAAAACTAGTATGAGCCTCGGTAAATCTGGCTAGATTTCTTACCATTATTTTATGAAGATTCCATAAAAATCTTAACATACTGAATACAGGTACACATTACTAATACACATTCCTTCCATTGCAAATCATTTTAAGTCTATGCTTCAAGCAAATTCTTTTTTTATACATTGTGAATCCATCCACCTGCTGGAAAAATGTATCTTAAACTTCTAAATGTGCATCCATGAACAAGGAAAATTAGTCCTTACCTCCAGCAACAACAGTTTTAGCACTTGCAAGTTCTGGTCTGTCGCTCTTGCTCAATTCCTGACCAACAAAGTCAGACAGGTCATTCGTGACAGCATCAGCAGAAACTGAAAGATGTTTTAGAAAGTGTCAAATGTGGAACTAATACTACAAAGCAACATTTGATCAGTAACTAGGAACATATTAGTGATTTACAGAAACAACAGTCTTACAAATGTTAAGGGAAGACCCAGTTCGACGATCCCAGAGAATATCGATAAAGTTTCTAAAAATGTTGATTGTTTTTTTTGTTGTGGAAAAACGTTCTTTGACATCTGTTCTATCGGGTCACAATCATGAAACTTCTGAGAAAAAACCCAAAATGACCTAAAAGGGTGTTTGAAAAGTGTTGAACTAAAAATCCTTTTAAAAATTCCACTTTTTTCTGTTTTTCTCAAAATCTGCTTTAAGACACATGTGACCTCCTTGATGCAAGGAGTATATAAAAACTACTGAAGCTAGAAGCTTCAATTTTGGCATACAGGTGCTTTAAAATCTATTCTGGAGATGTATGCAAGGAAATTGGGAAATATAGGTAACTTGTGGAAATATTCAAATTTTTTGTAACATATACCCCAAAGTTTAGTCAACTGACTCTAGGGGGTCCATTGACTTTGGGCTCTTTTTTTATTTATAAAGACAGGTCAAAATCCTTATATAGATCCACAGTCCATATAAGTTTGCACCTGTGTGCTAAATTTCAGGCTGTAGTTTCAATACTTTCTATGAAATTCTTCTGCACTAAGAAACTGGTTTGAAAATCCAAGATGGCCACCACAGACACCCATTGTTCAGAAAAAATCAACAAATTCACCCTTAGTACGTCCTATTTATCTATGAACTTCTTGCACAATTACATAAAAGTGTGTAAAAGTCATTCGTTTAGAAATTTTTTCTATATAAAGATTTTAAAAAAAGAAAAACTGACACACAAACAGGGAAGTCCTCCCACAAGGGCCCAACACATGAAACAAAAACTTCCAGAAATCTAGAATTGTTACCATTTTCTGTTGCTGCACTGCCTCCAGTTTCAGCTGCTTCAAAGGCTGTTCCTCGCACAGTGATCACTTTCACTGGTTCGTTGGAGGTCAAAGTCTGAATAGCATTACCTTCAAAAAGGAAGATGAATCAAAATGTTACATTTACGGCAAATCGCTCGTCAAAATTAAATTACAGTATATCACTGAACAAAAATTAGCATGATTTCATCCATGAACAACAAATAGGTCCTTTTATAGGTGGGCTCCATATTGCACCCTCTGGGGTCTATTCTCAGCTAAACCAAAACCTAAGCAAACACATCAGTGTGAAAATGAGCTTATGAGAAGACATAAAATGTACCAAAGACAGAAACTAAACTTACAACAAAAAGTTAATATCCATGGAAGGCATTCCACTAGCATTTGTTGTATGCCGAGCAGACTATTTTTTCTTAGGTTTCTAGATTTGCTGGGGTTGAGTGACATTGAAGCCATGGTTTTGAATGTGTACTTGTACTTGTTGAAGGGCAGACAGTCTCGACATACCACCACAGCCTTGCAGTCCAAGGCCAAGAACACTGACTAGATGGTTGCCCAATGTTGTAGCATCCAAGCCAGGATGAGAGTCTGTTGTCACCCGCTCTAGCTGCTTACCATTGGCCTGCTGCCACCAATTTCAATGCTACGGCTGTGAACAATGCTCAGACCTTCATCTGCTGCACATGACAGAGATCATGTTGTACACTGCTGCAGTCGACAACGGCAAGAGTCACTGAACTCATTGTTAATGGCCTTCAAGAATACTCTCTTCGTCTCTATTAAACTTTTTCCAGTCCATTATTTCCAAGTTTTAAAAAAACTAGAGTTACCATTCTTGCACTTCCATACGCTTATTGTCAAATAATTTTGTAGCTGTTTGGAGGGAAAGTTATTACTGTTTTAGTGTGAGTACCTAGATTTGTGGGTGTGGCAGGAGGCAGCCCAGGTGGGTGTGTCTGCTCAAGGAGGCAACTCAGGAGGAAATGGGTTAAGTGGTTGACCGAAACCTTCTGGCATGTGGCTGTTTCCACTCAGTGAGCCTCATCCATTCTGGCTGTTAATATCAATAAGGTAAGCGCCCCCTGATGTCATGCTAGAACACCAGTCCATGAAACAAATATCACTGTGTTACATGCTATCATCATCATTGCCTTTCTCCCACTGCTCCAGGGTATAGGCCACGAACAAACACTTTCCACCTTTCTCTATCCTAGGCTAGCCTCTTGATGTTATTCCACGTCTTCCCACTTTTCTGTACATCAATTTCAATGATTCTTCTCCATACAAGTTACCAGTAGCAGAAGTTTCCCTGAGTTAATTCTGCAACACAAGGAAGATGACAAACACAGAAGTATCTATGCTCACAAAGACATCAGCATCCTGCAGATTTTATTACCATAATTTCTTTTTGTTCTTGAGTTTTCTTGTATCAGATGGAGTGATATATATCACCATGAGAGTCTATATAAGACTATACTACATAAGAAGAAGAATTAAGATGCTGGTAAAATACCTAAGAAGTATAAATTCATCATCTCTTTACCTGCATAAATTGTTCTGACAAAGGTGCTGTCGTCTTTCACTCCAATAATATCGGATATGGGAGAGACGTCCAACTTGGCTGCAAGTCGAGGCATTACATTCTGAGGAACATACACTTTACTGAGAGTACAAAGAAGTATGTTTGGACATAGCTCACAGGGCATTCAGTCAGCAAGGGTAGCACTATACCTCTGCCGAGAGCATAAGCTAAAAAAAAAAAGAACTTTCATTCGTATTCTAATGGATCCCTTATCAACAGGTCATCTAAACCGACTCATAAACTGATAAATTAACACTTACAAAACTGTTTTTTAATCCTTGAGATTGATAAATTTGTGCACAGATGTCCTCCACCCCAGATCTTTTCTTTCTCTCCTTCCCACCCTCCTCCAAACCAGCAATAATCTGAAGGTGAAATGCTAACAGCAGTTGAGTTGTCTCCGCCCATGTTCCCGGTTGCAAGGAAGAAAGGAAAATACGGAATCTTAGGCGAAAGGGATCAAACCCAATTCATCAGACGAGGAATCCACAGTGAATGAAGGTCAAGCCCACAATTGTGAGCGTGCCTGGTGAAAGGGACCACATGACACATTTTGAAGAATCCTGTTTTTTTGTATTTAACATGTACAGAGATCATTTCTGAACAATATGCTTTTTGAATTTTAAAGATATCTTCAGTACTTTTTGAGATATGGGTGATTTTGAAGGGCAGGGTACGGAAACAAAGTTTTGAGAAATACGGCACTAAAGTTTCCCCTTCGTTTCTGCTTCAAATAGATAGATCTACGCTTCGAGACGACCTGACAACACAATCGCTACTAACAAATCAATTTTAAAAAGCATTAAAGATGAAAGAACAGCTTCAAAGTGTTTATATTACGTCTTCAAAACAAATTCATCACCACCTTGAGCAAGACTTTTCAAGAAATAGATCTAGGTTTGCTCAAGGCAGAAAAATGCGATACAAGTTTGTTCTCCAAAAAGACGAAAGGGTATAGATGCGCAAAGCTTCGCTTTGTTTACACGTTCTTGATATTCATGCGCACTACCTGAAACTAGAGAGAGGAAAGAATGACCTAAATTTTGGTATGCAATGTGATAGGGTCGACTTTATGAATGGACAGGAGAAACCATCCGCAGTGTGTACTCGGAAAACCAATTTTCTCACGCATTTTTGGGGATTATGCAAGATAATATGTTGTGTTTAAAAAAATGTATTTTCAAGTACAAGAAACTCAAGTCCTTATAAATATTGATATATTAATGGTTTAAGAATCCATTTTTAATGGAACTTAGTTTTTATCAAAAAATATATTTTTGACCTTTGAAGCCTGATATCTCGGTTCCAGCAAATGCGTCTTGAGGTCTCTTTCACCAAGCCCGCATACAATTGGTCAAATGCCCCCCCCCCCCTCACTTTGAAATATACTGACATTACAGTAATCATACAAGAATTTAAGGATAAGATGACTTGTGGCTTCTGCTGTCCGATGAGACCAATTTTGGCAGAGACAAGTTTGCCATATTTTGAACATTTAAAAGTTCAACTTCCATATGTGGATCTGCGCAGCTTGCATCTTTCTCTCTTGATTTCAGTATGTCTTATTCATGAAGCCTCATATGATTTGCTGCCCACTATGACTACTGCTCTCCAACTGGGTCTGTCAGAAGCTAAGCTCTCCCATATTGAAGAATTTATGTTGAAGTCCTTCACTGATGCTCAATGGACAATGCAATGATCACAAATTGTCTGTTTGATTCATCAGTTATGCTCGTTTGGTTCCCCCCCCCCCCCTTTAAATCATTGTATAAAATGCAGGATCTTAACTGAATGGAATCTTTCAGAGCAGGGTTTAAAGAGGTAAAAATTATGGGTTTTTTAAATACTGGATCTTAAGCGAACCGGGACCCTAAGCAATGAGATCTTGGGTGGAGACTCATTTTTCACATCACATTAAAGAAGGCATTCTCCAAACAGTTATTCGGAGTGAGGCAGATTCAGTAAAGTAAATCAGTACCTTGCCAATAGCTGTGGCTGGAGCAAGGATGTGAGAGAAATTAAACTGGTTTTGAGTTGCCAAAAGAAATGGTGTGATCGACTCTGTGGAATAAAAACATAAAAGCAAATATTACATGAGTGTGTGCACAATGCAAAATTACTGCATAAGCTAAGCAATAAAAGAAAATTCTACAATCTGGATCCAGCAGCTTAGATTACTTTTGTTAATTTACTATGTAACAAACATCAAAAAGATTCTTTAAATTTACAAGAACATTAAGTTATTCCATGTTGGAAACTCTTTCCATATCCCTGATATATCATAATAATATTATGTAATTAAAGGCAATATTTATTCCCAGTAAAGAGGCTACTAATAGTACATTTAATTTTCAACAGTCTGAAAGATTTTTTCTTCACACAGCTGCCACAAAATCCCAATCCAGCTAATCTTTGTACAGAACCTGGAAGAAATCCTTTGAAGACGTCACTGTCAGCCAGAAGTACCTTGGAAACACCTTTGATTTGACTGACTTCTTCAGCAACCTGGAAAGAACCGAGTTGCAGGTAAAATTGACAAGAATACATTCAATCCACATCCATTATCAAAGAGACTTACTGACTTACTCTTTATGAAATTTCATAAATGCTCGTCAAGACCAGAGTTTACACAGAGTGTGGAAACAACATGCAATAATGACGTCAAATGCAGGTCTCAGTCTTGTTCATGGCTTTCCCTGTCCAGTTTTTAACACACTGCAAATGCAGTGTCATGAAAACAAAAAAAGCAAATGAATTGCAATAAATTTTTGCCATACTGCGGCCAAGCTTGGTTCACGGATGAAACATCCAGATCTGTAAAATGTTATTCATATTTAGAACACAGGATTTTCACTGCTTACAAAAAAATATAAAAACTTTAATTATTTTTTTCAAAGCTCATAAAAAACTGCATGGACACGATATGGTTTTTTCATACCTTGCCAGTCTAAATATTATTACAGTAAAAATGTGTATATCGTTTCTAAGGTGAGGCACCTGTTTGTCAGTAGTCACACAAGCATGAACAGACAAGAACAAATTAAATTCTAACCTCAAAATTATGAGTAAAACCTTATCACACCACAGCTCACAACCCGTACACCTACCTTAGCACACTGACTGCCAAGAACTAAGCAGGAAACCTCTCCACCAAGCTTAGTGGCTGCTGTGACTGCATTGAGAGTAACTGGGGTCAGTTTTTCATTGTTGTGCTCAGCAATGACCAGAGTGCTCTTCAAACGCCTGAGCAACCCAAACTAAGAAGAGAATTACAAATATGTACAAAAATTAATCATTACATAAAGAAAAGCACTGCAAATATATGACCCTAATTTTTCTGAAACACATAACATTTCAAATTAAACTACATTTTACCACAACACTCCAAATCTAACATCTACTAAACATCGTTTCCAAACATGATAAAAAACCTGTCTCATATATATATCTCCACCACATTGTACGGGTTGTAAGCTGGGAGGCAACATTTTTTCAGGAAAGCAAAATTCTTTCCTTTTAAAATTTCTTTTGCATCTAGAACCCAAGTTCAAGGATACCATTTTAGTTTTGGCTTCGGGCAAATATTAAATTTCTTGTGAAAATATACCATAATATTAATAACAATGGGTGTGTCAGTACATTTCGCTTTCCTTTTCCCACACTGATAAAAAGAGCTCTGTTAACATGCTTTGGCCTATCATTTTACTCAACTGAACTTACCTACCAGCTGGTTGACTGTCACAAAATTCACAATCACAATTATATTGGTAAGATTTCAGATAAGACATGGTTCAAATAAAATATTTTTTCACTTCCTCCAAGAGTAAGAACTTTGTTTTAAAGGGTTTGGTAATCTTTGCAAATATAAAAGAGCAATTACAGTCGAACCTGTGTAAGACGGCCATCCACTGTCAGGGAGAAAAGTGGCCGTATAAGACAGGTGGCCATCTTAGGCCAGACTGATTAAGATGAAGAAAACAAACCATTCTCTTCTGAGATCCCTACTGAAGTTAGTAGCAATTGTTGTTGTTGTTGTTGTTGTTCTCACTTTTTTTTTTTTTTTTTTGGCTGCTTTTGTGCAAGGGTGACAATAAAACGAAATGTGTCAGACAAGGCACAAGGAGGACTGGGTAAAACAATCACATGGGTCGCCACCACTCCGAGAACGAGCGATGACCATTGTTACTTTGTTACAGACTGGGTAAACAGTGACCCCTCATCTCACTTACGATTTGTGTATAAATTCTGGGCGGGGCTTATGGGTTATGAAGGATCACAGGCTTACCTCACCAGCAGCTGAAAATTTGTTCCCTATTGGTCAACAGTGGGAGGGGCCTACGCAACATGATCGGTTGGAGGGAACTACCTAACAACAATGACAGGTGATTGAATTATGACGGCTCACCCACAACGCCAGGGGCCAATGCATGATTTATGACAAAACGTAATGGAGTCACTAAGGTCGCAGTCTAAGACAGGGGTATTTGCTTGGTGTGATAAGGGTTGTGTGTTAAAATATGGTGGCCGCGGACGTGTTGGACAGGTGCCTGTTTCACACAGTTAAATTATAGAAAAAACGCAAGGGGGGATATGGACAGTGGCCGTTTGTACAGGGTCAGGGCAGGTTCGACTGTATATATTTGATTGTGTCTTTTTAAGTTTTCTCAAGTTTGCCACTAACAGACATCTTGTACTGGAGGTTAGGGATGTTTACTAGCTGAACCCTCAAATGATGACTACTTTTGGATCCCTTACTTTTTATCCATGCGGAAAATAAGATGTTACCGTACACTGTTTGTTTACCAACTAAATATGAAAGTCAGGAAATACAGTGACAAACTGAAGACAAGGAAAACACCAGGGTCAAATGAGTTACTCTCTGTGGATCAAAAACATGGAAGTTTACAAAACAATCTTTTAGAAAACTACAGGTACACATATATCAACAGCAGCTTATGACTGACTACACTAAAACATTCATTCATTGGCCTGACACCATAAGAAATGAACAACTATGGCAGAAAAGAAATCCATAGAAAATAGAAGAGAAATCAGAAAGAGAAAATGAAAGTGGATGTACCTCTTGAGAAAACTGCAAACAAACATTACCCACCAAGCCTTCAGATGAAATTCACAAGGAAGGAAACAGAAATAAAGGTATCAGATCAACCCTCCTAATGAATTTAATTGTCTATTGTTCTGTTTCAAATCAGTAATTGGCAAGTGCATGGGAATTCATCTTTTTGTCAAAACCACATCTTTTGCGTTTGACAGCAAAGCATCAAACTGCAGCACCACAGTCGTCAGAATTCTAATAAGTACTTGTAAGGGAAATATATATATTTCATGTAGAGCATTAAGGTGGTTTGCACTGCAGAAAATGTCATTCATAAATTTAGTGAATTCAGTCATTTTTGTTTTGAACATGGCATAGAGAGCAATTTTAAATTAAAAATAAAAAGAATTATTACCATAACTTCCAGTCAGATTTTTCAGAGTCCTTTTCTCATGCTCATCTATGACTATGACAACAAAAAATGTCATCACAGTAGGCCCTATTAGATGTGCAGAAAACTGAGATTTAGAAAAGACTATTTTAATTCTTTAGATAGTGTGTCACGTGTGGTGTAATAGTCATCTCTCAGCGCGAGTAACTGCTTAGTAGTGTGGGTGCTCATTGGCATGATCCGTTCAATTCGATTTGGTAAGCAGGGCGACTCGCAGCCTAAAAAACAAAATAAATATTTTCAGGCAGCGAATCGGGCAGCAAAGAGTGACACACTCTCGAGCTTCCTGATCTAGATTCTCTGACAGTGCACAAGGGGCCAAAGAAGGATTGCATAGATAGTCTCTGCATTTAAATCAATCTCCGGCCCAGAGCGGCGAGCAGTGACGCCTCCATTCCCTTGCAATTTAAAGTTTGAATGGCAGTTCAACAAATGAGAAGTTTGTTGTTGATGAATGCAAATCTTTAGCCGTACTTAGATCTAGGTTCGGCCCTATTGACTCAAACCTGTTAAGTACACAGGTCTCATTAGATCTAGATCTAGTAATTATTCAGGTTCAAATACATGCAAGTCAGTAAGGCACCTTTTGGTTTTGTCTGAAATACAAAAACAAATACTAGGCATTGCAAACTAAAAATTTCATTTACAATTCAGCCATCAATATTAAGTACGGCTAGCTAGCCGTCCTTTTACAAGTACGGCTAGCCTGGCAGTCTAGCCGTCCTTAAGTACGGCTAGACTGCCAGTCTAGCCGTACTTATCTTAGGCCCTATTAACATTAGAAAACAGGAGGTTTAAAATACATGCACTGTCATTAAGGCCCCTGGTTTCGTCTCAAATACAAATACTTTAGGTACTGCACACTAAAAGGGTATATTTACAATTCAGTAGGCCTATTTTTTGTAAATAGGTCAGTCTAGCCATCATATTAAGAATAAGTACGGCTAGACTGCCAGTCTAGCCGTCATTAAGTACGGCTAGCCTCTTCCTTAGGTACTGCAAACTAAAAATTTATCTTTTTACAATTCAGTAGGCCTATTTTTTTTACGAAGTGACTATTTTTCCGAACGTTAGGAGAAATAGTGCCGATCTTTATTTCTCCGAACGGTTTCCGGCTTCCGGTCTCATGATTTTTTGCCAATATTTATAGCGAGAGTTCGGCGCCAACTTTCATTCTGCCCCTCTGGTCTTGGAAGGAACACCGCATGGCAAGCCCGCCTACATACACCCTTCAGTAACAACCACCGCACACCCACCACCATCATGCACATGTACACACACAAACTTATACACACACTAACTAAACATGATCAGTGGGCAACTTTTGAACGTATGACGAGCTGAGCTGTGGATGGAGAGACAGTGTGAGTGAAAGAGCGGGTGAAAGGAAGAATGTACGAGTGTATCCACAGGCGACAGCAACTACAAGAAAGAAGACGACACCGACCCCCCCTCCCCCCCCCACCCCCACCCCCACCCCCACCCCCCCGCCTGGTCCACAGCTCACGAACGAAAGGAATGTGGCTAAGGCAGTGTTTTGCCTATATTATTGTCCATGGTTCGCAGGGTGCAAGGGAATGAGTGAGATTTTCTTAGTGTGTGCCTGGAGGGAGGGGGTGGGGTGTGAGAGAACACGGGAATTGGATGGATGAGTGAAACTGAAAGAGAGGAACGACTCATGAGCCCTGGAGTGAATGGATCCTGTGTTTCTATTTTTGTATACTTTGAACTGTCATGTTACTGAATAAAGGCTGAAATAAAGCCCGAAAAATAAACACACACACACACTCCTCACTCTCCACTTACACACTTACTACCACACACAGACACACTCACACACGCACATGCATACACACACACACACACACACACACACACACACAGGAGCAAATTTTTGGGTCTATATCTATTTCAATTTTCAAGAGCTAGTCTAGAGATTTTTAGATGAGTGTAAAAACGTGAAAAAGAAAGGTTTCACAACAGGATGAAATCAAAATTAGAACAGCCCATAAACAACCACAAAAATTAACAAATAAGGGCATGTGTCCACCTGTCCGAAGAAGATTGGCTGTTTTAACCATAAATGAGCGTAAATTTTTTTTAAAGTACAGGATATTACATACATGTAAATTATGGAATCACAGTGTCAGTCCATGTAATCGGTTTTGGTGGAACGTACTCTCTAACATAAGACATTAATCTACATGTACATGTATATACAGTCGAACCTGTGTAAGACGGCCACCCATTGTCAAGGAGAAAAGTGGTTGTATAAGACAGGTGGCCGTCTTAGGCAGGACTGATCGATATGAAGAAAACAAACCATTCCTTTCTGAGAAAACAAACCCTTCCTTTCTTAGGTCCCAACCGAAGGTAGTTGCATTGTTGTTGTTGTTTTCGCTGGGTTTTCTTTTGTTGCTGCTTTTGTGCACGGGTGACAATAAAACGAAATGTGTCAGACAAGGAGGACCAAGTGCTATGGTAAAACAAACACCCGTACTACCACTTGGAGAACAAGCGACGCTTCTGTCACAAGTTCATGTTGACGTCCATTGTTACTTTGTTACAGACTGGGTAACAGTGACCACTCATCTCACTTGCGATTTGTGTATGGGTTCTGGGCAGGGCTTATGGGTTATGAGGGATCACACGCTTACCTCACCAGCAGCTGAAAATTAATTTTGTTACCTATTGGTCAACAGTGGGAGGGGCCTAAGCAACATGATCAGTTGGAGGGACTAACTAACAACGACATGCTTTTAGATTATGACGGCTCGCCTACAACGCCAGGGGATAATGCACAATTTATGACAAAGCGTAATGGAGTCACTGAGATGGCCGTCTAAGACAGGTGTTTTTGCTTTGTGTGATAGGGGTTGTGTGTTGAAATATGGTGGCCGTGGCCGCGTTGGACAGGTGCCCGTTTTACACAGTTAAATTATATCGAAAAAACGCAAGGGGGGAAATGGAAAGTGTCCGTTTGTACAGGTGGCCGTCTTATAGAGGTGGCCGTCAGGGCAGGTTCGACTGTATATATATATTTAGAATCTAATGAAGGTAGGAACATCAAATCAAATGACGTTACACTATGCAACCCCCCCCCCCCCTTTTCCCCAACAAAAAAATTGATAGAAAAACAACACATCAGAACAATAACAAGAAAAAAAATTACACACTAACAAAAAAACACACCACAAAGAGTCAAAGAGGGAAAAATAAGTAACTCTAACGTATTCAATAAATCAACGGGGTGACAACAAGTGAGAAAGAGACTAAAAGTGAAGCTAAGTGAACTTTCTTTTCAAAAGTAAAGAGGTTCAGTTTCTTTCGGTTAAATTTGACTTTTATTCCCTGAACAAAAAATTCCAAAAAATCGAGCCACGATTGATTGGTCACGGCTGCGACGAACACGCTAGTTCTATGTGTCGTTATCAATTACCCTCCGTAGATCTAGATCTAGACAGCACACGAGTGAACAACAAACATTAAGTTTAAGAGCAGCACCCTTCATAGGCAACACGTCATATCTGTAGCAAAAAACTGTTTGGAACTGTAGCATTTCTTTATATATAAATATTTACTGCGGACATTTTTTTGGACCGATTGAACCATATTGTAAAATTGTATACAATCTTTGGTAGGCCTATACTCTATATAATATCTGAAATTTGCGGGAAAGGATGTGATTTCAGAGTGTTCAGAGAAATAGTGTCCAGCTTTATTTTCCCGAACGTTCGGAGAAATAGTGCCTAGCTTTATTTTCCCGAACGTTCGGAGAAATAGTGCCCAGCTTTATTTTCCCGCCGAACGTTCGGAGAAATAGTGCCGGCCTTTTTTTTATGGTCAGTCTAGCCATCATATTAAGAATAAGTACAGCTAGCCCAGCTGTCTAACCGTACTTAAGAACAACTAGTCAACCAGTCTAGCCGTACTCCGCCAGTCTAGCCGTCAATAACTTGTCATTTGTCATTTTAAGTACGGCTCTAGCCTCTTCCAAAAGATATTAAGATTTGAATCTCCAAAATAGAATCTAGATCTAGATTTAGATCTACATTGTTGATCTTCTCTTATTAGGTGTAGATCTAGATCTAGATCTAGATCTAGATCTAGAATAATCTAGTCTAATCTAGAGATCTAAATCAAACTAAGCAAAAAAGTCACATCACAGCATGACCTTTGAACATTGCATGAACACCGCATTCTTGTGACGACTGAAGATTGAAGACTGAGAATGAATGTTTGATCTTGGCTATCTAGGATACATCTATTATGCTTTGATTAAGCCAACACTATTTTAACAACATTCTTTCGTAATCAATTTATTCCCTGCGTCAGAGGTATAAAATGAGGTCTGCACTAACGTGTTACACTCGGTGAGTGTAGAGTCTAGTGTAGGAGTGTGTATGGAAGATCTGCTGTGCTTTTGGCCCCTGGTGCTGTCGAACTTCTAAGACAGAATGAAGAACATTCCATAATTCGTAACAAAATACTCAGTTACAACAGTCCAGAAGTAAAAACTTACGGTTCTGCTACACGTCTGTCGTCCCGTAGAGAACATCGTATGCTTTTGACCCGAATTCACAAGTTCTATCAACACAGGCAGAATAATTTGGAATGGACTGTGACCGTCAGTCCACAGGCTTGCTCTACTTACTTAGCTCTAGTTGGCTATATTACGTAGTCAAACTTTTGAAGTTACCAAACAGGTCAAGGATGGGCGGTCACCGCCATAATTTGTTTTGCAATAATATGGAACGGAGTACACGCCCATGTCTCATGTCTCTGGTCTCATCAGAGAGTATTTAATTATATTTCAGTGTCTCTGGTCTCATTGAAGACAATAAAAATTGACAATCGAGCAAAGACCAACTGTAGCTCGAAATAATGTAAACAAACATGAATTTACATTATTAAATACTACTTTACATTACAAGGAATACATGAATATGGAGTTGGGGGGGGGGGCAATGAGCAAGGCGAAGGGAAATAGGCTCAGTGGCCAGTACCGTGCCTTTCACTTTCACAAGACAATTAGATCTCCTAGGCCTACTAGATCTAGTAATAATAACCTAGCATTTAGGCTATTGCTGCGCATTTCCATTTTCTAAAAAAGTACTCAATGCCCATTACATTTTTTTAAAAAGATATCACACCTTAAAAATTCATTGACATATGTGTAGATCTACAAAAAACACAAATATGTACATATTCATTTATAATTATTATGTATAAAAATTTATTTGAGAAAGAACAGTCACTCAGAAAGCCTGGCACGTTCACACACACACACAAAAATATAGAATTCAATACAAATTCATGAATGATCTCAATAAGACTGAAACTTGAAAAGCTAGAAACATTAATTAAAAACATTCGATCTATAGAAAAACATTTCTGTTCTCTCTCTCTCTCTCTCTCTCTCTCTC